TTATTTTTCATTAAATATATTTAACATCCTGCTTACCAGACCTTTCTTATTCTGAGTGTAGCTATATTTGTCATGATGACTAGATGCAGGCATGACTTATTAATAAGAACTGACGAAGTAATTGGTGGCATATTTTAGTGTAAGGTAAATCTAACTACGGTTGCTACAGCTCAATGAATTCAATAATTTGTCCTTTGTAGACTTTAATTTACGCTACATGTTAACAGCCTTAGTCATATGGATTGACATCACGCTTTAAGTGAAACATTAGTAATGCAATACTTTCGAATACACCTAACAGTATACGAACTGGAACTCGAATGCAGTGCCCAAGTTATGCCTATTGTTGTCATTTGTCCCTAAAGACTTGCATATGACTGAGACGTATCCACGTAATTTCACTAAAATACCTATAATTTAACACGTATGACGACCGACATCGTTCCTACGCAATTACACTTACGTATAGTAAGTAGTTAAAGTCCTAGGGAGCACCGGTCTAGCATGCCGTGCTCACAAAGGGAACACATGAATTGAAAGACCACAAGATTTACATGAAAAGTTTATTTTAATTATGATACAAATTTAGTTTATTTACATATTAAGAATACGATTGATTCCTGCGATTACTCCGTCTGCATAAGTATTGGCAAACACTTCTCCAAATTTGTCACTAATTCTCTTCATGCCCGCAGTGATAATCCTATTTTTGGTATTCAATATGTCACGTTGATTTCGAGGGATAACTGCTGACGTACTACCGGTAGTACTAGTGCGCTTGACTCAGTTAAAAATTCTGGCAGAAAACAGTCCATGGTTCCATTCATCGTAAACATTTTGCAGTTTCTTCCCAGTTGTGAACACTAGTCTTCGCTTGTATCTATGGATTCAATTGACTTTCAGCCATCAGAATGCCACACAAAAGTGCGGAATCATGCACGAATTCGATATCAACCATATTCGTCGGTTCCTGCTAGAGAAATAGGTACCGCACAACAGCTTATAGGGAAATTAACGATTAATTACAGGTTGCCGCCAAGCTGCAAAGAAATTTATCGAAAGACAGTCGTCGAAATGTACGCGAGGTTTACTCGGTATGTGAAGTAATCATCGGATGAACCATATATTTAAGCGTCCTGATACGCAAGCAATCAGTAAATGCTCAAGAAGAATATCGAGCAACAATTTTTATATAGATTCATTCAACGAGAGCAAAATAAGCACCAAAACGAAGTCAGCTGCGTTTGCCTGGACGACTAGCTCCAACCCGGATCAACTAAACCTCGCAAATGCCGTCAAGATAAAGCTATACATTTTCACCATTTAACACATATATATTCACATACTGGATTACAGGCAATTTCTGTGTCGGGCAACATCTGTGTTTCAGGTTTAATTGGACTCTGTCCGTATGAATTGACGCTGGAAAGTAAATTCACAGTCCAAACTAGCGGTTTCGTCTTGACTAGCAGTCTAAGCCAACACAGAGTGGTTACTATCATGTACTTCAGTCAGATGTCTTCATGAAAACATTTACCAGCAGAAAATATTCTAAAAGCCGTCTAGAATATCTTTACATGGCATTCGATTGCTGTCAAGACACAGATTGATGATGCAAACTCACATTCCAACAGCGTATCTCGCTAGTGTTGAACTTGAATAAAGCACATTTTTGTGTTTGTTTGAATAGGCCAAATCATAGTTACCGCTGTACTTACTATGTTTCTACAATTCAAATGGCGACCTTCGAAATTAAATTATAAATTATGATCTCATAGGTGTCTTGACTGCTTATGTCGCATCTTCGCCGCAGATATCTCTCTGACTTGAGAACTCATACTAATTTGCGTGAAAAATATGTTAAGGAATGTAGTGAATTTTTTTAAACCACACATGTGCTATTAGTACTTAAGGCACTGTCGGACATAGATGGTAATATTCAGGTCTATAATAGGAAAATAAAGGCCATGGCCTTTAAAAAAACACGACGATTCCAGTTACATGAAAAGACTGTCAATTTTCTGAATATCCTCCCATTTTCATCATTTTATGACGAAAGGCTTTTCGAAATGTGGTCATGATTTATTTATTTTATTTTTGATAACGGCTTGATTTCACTATTATGACAACCATCTAATCAACATTTAGGTATTCTTACCTAATGATAATGTTTTTCCCATTGTTTTACCATTCTGGACATATGATCAAATCCTGCTATTTTCAGACGTTTTTTAAATTACTATATACTCGTCTTTGTCTGACTGGAGTTGTCTATGGACTGGATTTTAGAAGTGCTTGTGCATAATACCGTTCAACGGCAATCAGTCATCGTTTCGTATCGCTGTTAAGCTTTTTGTTTATATCAGGGGAAATGTAAAGCCTCAGTTATTTGATGTTTTAGAGGTTGAAGGATATCTTGTACAGCAACTTCTAACTTATTTATTCTCGCGTACCAAAAACAAAGCAAAAGCCGATATTTGATCGTCCAAACTACGAGATATATTTCGGGACCAAAACAAGTCGTCAGACGAACACTTAGCTGGCTAGTGATCGTGCACGTGACACGACGGGGTACCAAATGGCGGGGATGCTTGACCGGAAGCTTTCAGCTAAACAAGTCGACTTAAACGTGGTAGTCAGCATCCAATGATGAGTGATTGCTGTGGTCAATAATTTTGGGGAATTACTTACCGATACAGCTCACTCCCCCCCCCTAGTGGGGTGGTGAGGACCCTAAGATAGAACCAGCCGGAAATAAAAAAAACTCGATGGTTCCCTTTCGAGTGAAAAAAATCTTCCGAGCGGCTTGGTGGCATGCCTACTGGTTTGTCTGCCTATGCTAATAGGGTGTTTGTAAATAGCTTCCTTGATGTTGTTCGCTGGATCCCGTGCTTCGTTTGTTTCCTGTCCAGTGCCCGTCGCACCTGGAAAAGAAAACAAGAACGCTAAGAACCATGTCGAGGAAAATGTACCAAATCAGGTTTTTTGTTTAAAAAAATGATGTGCGTTTACTATACAGTAAAATAATGCTAAGTTCAGAACATCGAAAAAAATACATCTAATGAAAAATTCTTTTTTGCCTGTTACATGTACTGTTGAAGAAAAAAATAATTACTTGTGTTTAGTGACACTGTATATAAAAAAATTGATACGTCTAAAAAAATAGTTAGTACCACAAACGAATGAGTTGGGTGAATCACACGACTTCGTTATTTTAAATAAGTGTGAAGATATTCTGGGATCCTTACGGTACGTCCAGAACGGGTTTTCTTAGGGGACTCGACAGAAGATTCGGTAGCTGTCGCTGTGCTAGTGACTTCATCGAGGTCTAAACGATCGTCAGTTATTTGCGGATTATGGGGTATGTTGAGCTCTACGCTAATAGGATCACCCTCCAAATAAACCGGTTTCAGACGGTCAATGCTGACGGTGTCTTCGCGGCCTTTTCTGTCCATGACAAAGAATTTATCCAAACGTTTAATTACTTTATAAGGTCCGTCGTATGGGGGTTCCAGAGGTCTACGCACAGATTCGCGACGAACAAATACATGTGAAGAAGTTTTTAAACACGGGTGAACAAAAACATCAATGGACTGTGGGCGAAGGGGAGCAGGTTTAACTCAATGCATTGCGTTTGTAAGCCTACTGACGTATGAAGCATGATCTACCACTGGTGGAAAGCTCGAGGGAGAAACAAATTCACCAGGCAGTCGTAGTGTCTTGCCATATACTAGCTCGCGCTAGTACAACCAGCATTAGTTGTCATTGACTAAAATGGTCTATAGCTTTTAGATAAAGAAGTTTTGAGGGCGATTCTAGTGATTATGAGGACAATCGAGATATTTTGCAGCATTTCCTTGTTTGCATCTAATCAGTGTAACAGCACAGTTTAAAATAAAAAATGAAGCCTCTGATAGTTAAATAGTGTGGATCCCCCTACTTGTTGTTTATGTTTAAAGTGACTTAAAACGTTGTAATTCTTTATTCCACCAAGGTGTAGGTCATTATAATTGTCCCCTATCTCTGAATAGGAATACATTCAAGTATTTTAGAATGATGATTATCATTATTTTTCAAGTAATAGTATTTCCGTTAAAATGTCTCCATTTTCCACGGAAAACATAAAGAGATGTGGTATTACTAGAAAATTTGCTCCACCTGCCACTAGAATATCCCGAAATTACGCTGACATTTCTTTAAGGTTTTACTTTAGAATCGCACGATCTCTGGCCATTCACTACGATTTTGATCCCAAAAAGATTTAGTATTTTGGAGGATTAATTCAGTTTTTTTATTTGCCTTTGGTTTTCGCCAAAAAAATACTATAGGAGTTGTGAGCACAAGAACTGTGTTATTATACATCTCACTTTACACAAAGGTCAACACTTCATCATCTCCTAAAACATGTACACACTTCATAGCTACCTTTATTTGATGTGAGGTATATATGGACTATAAGTAGATTTTCCGGGTTAAACATCAGTTGCTTTTATAAAGCTTAAGTTATGGGAATTGTTTTCTCCAACTGCTTATACATAAATTGTATAAAAAGCATCCATCAGTTTGGTTGTTCCACTATCAGGCCTTGAATTTCGGAAAACATCTGGAGTCATGGATTATTTTCTAGCGTTTGTACCAAGTTCTTTTCTGTCATTCGAAATTAAATTCTGTACTTTTTGATTTGGTGTAAATCGCATTCGGACACACCATAAGGAATCATATTTTCTTCAGATTATTTATGGAATGCAATTCTCCCTAATAGCACATTTTAAGGCTCAAAAACGTTTGCTATTTCACTGGCACTATAATATATACATTCGTGACGAGAATTTGTAATAAATGTAACCACATATTTTGTTGATTCAGAACATAGTGTTTGTGACTATGCCCATAAACATAACGTACTTTTCTTCTCCAGTTTCAGAGGTTTGCCCCACCGTGTGAGTCAAAATTGCATCACTGAACTTAGAATCAGCCTACAATTTTAGAATAGTTTTCAAATGTCGACTGTTGATATGAATTTAGAAAACAGTGTACCGTGTCAGAAAATGAATTTCATACAAGACCTTATGCCTCTCAGTAGGCACATTGGATCTCCAATGGCTAAAAAGGTCCTTGCAGTTTTGGATTCTACCATTCAAAAAGTTTTGACTGTTTTATGTTTACAAAATATTACAGAAAATGTGAAGGTATAATTATTTATTATTACCTCCCAAACATTTAAATATTTAGGAGGAGAAAAGTATATTAGATCGTGTGACTACTTTCTTGAAACAAATGGGGAAATATTACTTGACCAAAGCTAGTAATACTAGTGAGGGCATAATTAATCAAAATTCATCGGACAATTGCGAATTACTGATAGATGAAGGTAAGTATTGTGTACACTCAATCATCATGTCAACATTTGTAGAGTCACAAATCACAGCGAATATGGTGAGTTTATGAGTGGTGTATCCATCCACATGACATTCATAAGAGGTAATGTTTTCAATGGCGGAAGCTGAAAAACTCCTATGTTTGCTTATCAGTTTCCAGATATCAACAATTTGAAAAAGCACATTAAATGAATGAACATTTTCGCAAAACATTCATCTATGAAAAGTCACATAAAGTTGATTAAGTACTTTACTCAGAGTATATATAAACACCTATTTTACTTATTGACATTAAATTTTTTACATTAACTATGCTTCTTTCTACAATAAAGGTAAATTTTTCACCTTTACAAAATATGATCTTCAATCGAATAGGCTATACTTTACTTACAATTTGATGTTAGGATGATATTTAAAACTTTGGAAAGTTTATGCACACATTTATGGATTAAATTGTTCACTATGCTATTTTAATCTCTGTTATTGTTGGTCGAAAAATCTCTCAAGTTTCTGATATATTTATGTCCTCTTATCCTTTTTGGTAGTATAGTGGTTCGAAATGAGATTAATTTTACTTTGGTTTTTCAGTCAGTCAACATAAAAGAAATACCTGCTTATTATTGCTGCACAACCTATGACATAATTACTATATTATAGCGCAATGAAAGTGGAATGCTTTGATGGATTCATCTGAGTTATCGCCTACATATGTTTTATGAGTTTTAATGTGTTAACGCCTCTGTCTCACACATTATGTGAGCTAGGGATGTGGTCTGAGCCAGGTACGTCATGATACTGTAAAATCCATAACTGCTGACTTAAGGGGAGCATATTTATATTTATCTATTATAGAACCATTCTATTTCTGTTCACCCATTGGTCACATAAACGTATACATTTGTGCAGTCAATAGTTCACGTCAGTTTATATGTCTGTTCTCTCTTGCGCAAGAAAGAAGACGGATGAGGAGAAAGAACAGATCCTTAAAGAACACCAGCTAGGGTGATTGAAGCAGTGGATGACTTCCAGTTTTGCGTCGGTGGCACAGTGGTTAGGACTCTGGGGTTCGAGCCCACGCTGACGCACACCTGATATCTATGGTCGGCCTGCGAAATTTGGGCTACCGATATCCACGCTGAAAATTCCATACTTGTACCAAAAATACGGTGTGTAATCAAGCTGTAATCAAAAATAAATAAATAAAATAGTAAACAGCGTTCCGCTTCTTATCAAAAATTTGTGAATGCAACCACTTAGTAGTCTGGCCATTTGGTTGTGTCTCAGAGAGCTTGTTTAATAAGAGAGGCTTAGATACAAAGTCATAGTTAGTCTAGATGTCTGTAATCTGTTGCGCAAGTAATAGATATGATTCAAAAACTCAGTAGTATATTCACCTGAAAAAAACTTAATACAACTTATGTCTCTGGCGCTTAATTTGATCAATATTAGAAAAGATGAATATAAGTGCTTAATTCTAGTATTTGTGTATTTAAACCTACAGAAAAATCTTGGAGATTTCCGGATTCCTTTAGCCTTAAAACACTGTATTTTACTGAAGGTAATATACATAAGTCAAATCCTGTGAGAAATACTTAATTTCCCGAAAGTAATAGATTATGAAATAGATTTTTAAAATTTGATGCATAAATCCCGATGATTAGCGGTGTGAATCTGGACAAAAAGTCAACTGTCGAACATTACTCAAGTAATACAACGGTTAGGACGCATAATAATTAGCTATCTACTTCAATAGTTGTTCAAAATAAATAATAAAAGCAGTTATATATTTCTGGACTGTATAGCTAAACAGGTATTCAAATTCTCATCCTAGTTTGAGACCATTCAGTAGTACACTCCTACCGGGGTTCAAACCAGTAGAACCCGATTCAATGACCCATGAAATCAAGATGAAACAGCTGTACAGTACTCTCTGGTTTCCTAGTGGTTCTCCAACTGATGTCAGCTTGTGGTCAAATCCCTGTGAACTTTTGTTCATATAATGGTAAATAATTAGGATGAATTTTAAATTATAGTCATATATTAGATTAGATGAGTGCAGGCGATCAGCAGGCAGCGGCATCTGGCTAAAACCGAATAATTTGAAAAGTGCATTACTGATGCTAAATCACGTTGACTGGTGAAAATATCAAAAATATACTAACAGAATTCAGTCAGTCAATCACGAAGTATTAGACTTATGACACTGTGATTACACCCCAGAGATTTATGAATAGAAATCATAATTTACAGGATTTCATCATGTGCTGACATCGGTTAGAGAACCATTGGAAAACCAGCAAGGAGTACTGGGCAGCTGTTTCATCCTAGTTTGGGGCTCTTCATCACTATGCACCCACTGCCGGGATTTAACCCAGGGCCTTCTGGTTACAAGGCTAGCGAGCTCTTAGAACATTAAGTCACTGGGACCCGATCCAATGGCCTATGAATTCCAAATTCTGCCAATTCACTACATAACGCGACCCCTAGCCAATGTCTTCGGCGAGTATTTGTCCTCACACCCGACCTGCTGCACCCTACTGGTCACGACTTCCCACTAGAACCCCAGGTTACTACCTAATTGAATAGAACCAGTCGCTAGTGAGCATCTCATTGATATTCAAATATTGGTGTTGGATTTGTACTGATTAATAGTCCCAAACCAGGACGAATCAACTGGCCAGTGCTCCTCTAACCGATGTCAGCTCATGATGAAATCCTATAACCAATCAATCAAATCCCTGCAAACCAATACTTGAATACAAATCATAAGTATTTGACAGCTTTATGGTACTGTAGATGGCTCATTGTTCTGCATCATACTTAACAAGTTCGAGTGTTTATTCTTTCTTGTATACATCTTATTTGTGTTAAGAGAGACAAGCTCCCTTTTTAGCCGTGAGGCAACATTTATGCATGCACTGACATGACTGGACAACTTTTGATTCGTTTATCTAAGGCTTAACTTTCTGAATCATTTTCATTGATAGACAACCAGTCAGATTTGTTTGATTATGACTTAAATTTCTGAGGCTTCGAAAATATAATATACCATGTATTTTGTCTAATAAGTGTTGTCACAGTTGTTGTCGTTGGTCGTCGTTGTCGTCGCCATTTTTCCCAGTCTAACTTTTGTGTCTGCCTCAGTGTGATGGATATTTTCAAGTGATCAGTTAGCAATAGTGTGGTGTTCTGAAGACGCATTCTAGTCATGTTAAGACGACACCACAACCGCCGTGACATTATCCTTCAGGAAGTCAATTTTGAGTTCATATCTATTCTAGCCTTTTATTTTCGAATTCATGTCAAACTTTTCTCATTGTGTTAACTTTAATAAGTTATACATTTGGACGTCTGTATGTCATCAAATGTTGTGCTACACTATTTGTTATGGAAGTTGTTTACCTAAACGAATATGAGTGAAACAATAATAATATTCAATGGATTTCAGTTTCGTTTTATGATTAAATCCATTATAAGTGAACTTTATGGTACCATACACTACTAATTGATTGATATGAGTAATTGGACACCACTCACATCACTAAGTAGTGCTAGTGGTAACTAGATCGAAGTGATTTAAAAACTGGATGGCTGTTTCGCTCGTTTGCTGGCCGAGGTGGCCAGTAGTGTACCCTATTTTCGAATCAGGTTAGATAATCGAGTCTATCCAAATCGCTTGAATTGTGGCTGGTAAGCTGCTTAGAACTGGTGATACATGGAATCGAATTCGCAATTCACAACTTACACAGTTCGAAGTGAAGTCTATCTAGAAACGGCAATCCAGTGTTTAGACTATTGCATTATGTCCAGCAAGCACTAGTGGCTGATGTGAGTGGTACTCCACTACTCATATCACTCAATTAATAGTGCACACCATCCTGCCTTGTTGATGTTTGCATAATCTAGTGGTCTTACCAACTGCTGTCTTCGTTCCATACTTAAAATCAGATAACTAGAAAGGATGAGCAACAAAGAACTCTGGGTATAAAGAAACCAAGCCAGCTATTACCTAACAAATGTGGCAGTGAAAATGAAGATGGATTAGACATACGATAAGGAGACTGTTGCGTGACTCTATGCGCCAGACCATTGAGTCGAAACTGAACAGAAAACGAGTTGTTTCAGGGCTGAGAGTGACACGGAGGGGACCGCGTGGGCAGGAAACGAAGGCTTATAGATAGTCTTGGAGCCAGTTAAACAGGACTGCAAAGAATAGGATAGAGCGGAGATGTGTTTTACAGAAGCACTGTGTTCCACTTGTATTACACAACAGAACAATGACAAGAATGAGTAGAAGGGTGATTACTTTCACAAAGTTAAAAAGGGATGGTCATGTTTAATGTTTCATCAGTACAGAACTACATAAATACTCATAAAATGCCCCCTCATAAAAATTTACCCAAAACTGTTTACAGTTACACAAAAAGTATCCATTTTTGTGTTCTAAATGTGAAAAATAGTTCGTTCATGTTGACTGGAGTACTTTCAACATTGTACACACGTCTTTCTGTCCTATAATAGTTTTGTTTCCTTATTATGTGTACTGCTCAAAAAGCATATCAACGTGAATTGATCCATTATGCTGATCCTTCAGCAAGTCAGTCAATAAAATGTAATTTTATGTTAAAATTTGAGTGTTATAATGTGTATGGTACGCTTTCTCTGCTTTACAGGAAGACACTACTATGACGGGGGAAATAGTAGTAGTAGAAGACGAAAGTGAAGATGAAGAAATGAGAGATCACACTCGCAATTTACTACATTTCTTACTATCAAAACCACTGATAAATCAATTTTTAGCAAGTATTATGTTAAAAAAAGCTGAATGTCAATATCAGTATGAATATCCAATGGAATGGAAATTACCTGAGATAATAAGTAATTTTAAAGGCAGTGTTCAATGGATTAATATACCACAATTTGATGAGGATAATAAAACAAAATTATTAGAATTTTTAATACATTTAAGGATATTATTATTAACAAAATTGTTAACAACACCAGAAGATAAAAAACGTAGAAAAAATTACATCAAAGAACTTGAAAATAGAGATCAAGAATGTCAAACGAAATTAAGTGGACTTATTAAAGAATTAGATAAACAAATATGTAAAAATAATACAGAGGTGGGTTATTTATATTTGCATAATAGTAGAATTGTGGTTGTTATTCAACTTGAGACTGAATACCCGTCGATGACATTGGGAGGGGGCAGGGCGGGGGCACGAGCTCTGTATCGCGCATTAGTAGAAGTAGTGAGCTTTCAAGTTCATTTCAAGTATCTGAAAGGTCAGGGGGCTGTCCGTGTAACGTGAAAGTCCCAAGTTCGATCCCTGGTGGCGAGTTGATGGCTCAGCACTGATGAAAAGTCTCACAGTAGGACGAAACAAATGTTCAGTACTAATGATCCTTTAACTGATGTCAGCTCGTGATCTAACCTGAAAGACCATATTCAAAACTTTGCATATCTATGTAGAATAATTTGGTGTAAACATGGATGAGAGTATTGTGTGAATTGTGGAGATGTGGCTAACCGGCTTGAACACTTCACTTTCAATTAGTGAATCGCAGATCTGAATCCAGTTCTACCTAGTTCACACTGGACAAACGGGTAGTATCATCATCAGCTGTCTCATACAACATAAGTGTAGTTCATACTGTATCAAATGAAATATCTGTTCCCGTTAACTCACTTTTTTTAGGACGGACGAGCTTCTTTTGTAGCAACAGAAGACAAGGGCCAGGCAACAGATCGTTTATTAAAGAAATCAACAGATATTTATAGATTTTTATGTACATTATTATAGATTATTGTTAGCGGAAAAACACAGTCTTCTCATTGGTTGTTTCTCACAGAAAGTTAAACTTGCATCTCTTTGTGGCTGTTTCTTGAATGTCAGATCATCTTTATGTTAACTGTATCCGCCTACGCAAAGCCTTTGTTCTCATTTTTCTCACAACCAATATTGGGGTCATAAACATAGGTGTAAATTACTGTCCACCAATTTTGACTAACAGCCAGCTCTCACCACACTTTGTTAGTCGTGATCTATGTATATACTAAAATGATGAGTTCGTCGTAAAATCTCAATGACTAATCAACTCTCATTCGACTAATACACTATTTTTGGATTGTTGAACAAATTAATCCATAACCGGGGAAGTCGATTAGAGAAACCAACTGAATAGATACTTTATCCTAAGTTGACTAAGGTCCAAAGAGTTAATCTAAAAGAGGATTATTTTAAAACTTATTGTTATTTACTACCCTGACCTTATAAAAGGTTCTGCAAGGTGATCACGAACTGATTTTGGTTAGAGAACCATTGAAAACCACCAAGTAGTACAAGACATCTGTTTCGGCCTTGTCCGAGACTCTTCATCAGTACGCACCGCCACCTCACTGTTACGGACTGAACTGACGACCTTCAGGTCATGACTCGAGCTCATAAACCATTCCGTAGCTGGGACAGAATTCTATTTTCCGCCAATCCGTGGTGCATAGTGCAACAACCGGCGAATGTCATCAGTGAGTAATCTTTCTCACACACGGCTCAGTGGACTCCAATGGTCATGATTTCTGACTAGAACTTCAGATACATTCATCCAGTAATCAATCTCTAGAGTGAACTGGATCAATTGTCAGGTATTGATTCGAAGGGATTTAATAGATTCCAAGAACTGAATTCCATTAGAGAACCAATGAAAATCACAGAGGATTAGTTGGCTGTTCCGTCCTCGTTTGGGACTCCTCATCAGTACGTACTTATATAACTTCATCAAGAAGTAGTTGATGGCTGCTTCATTCATCAGATTATTCAGATGATATTTTTGAGAAACATCAAATCATCCTGGAGAATTGTACCTCACTGACTTTAGTACCTAGTTTGATAACACTGTTTCAATGAAGTCTAATCATTCCTTTACATGTAATGCGGTATTTCATTGTTAAATGCTCTAATAGAATGTGTAGGTTTTTTGAAAAACAGTTTTATTATACTTCATATTTATAGACTCGTAAAATTGGTTATACAGTTTCTAAACTTAAAAATGAAATTGAAAATCTTGAAAAGTATTTAACTGAACGTACAAAACAAGTTAACACTGAAGAGATGAAAAAAATAACAGAAATTAAGAATCAAAGTAATGGTAGGTTGAAACTAATTTTATTTCTAAAAAAAATTATATAAAAGGAAATCGATTGATTTTCTTGATTTTAAAATATTTTCAGTCAAAAATATCTTAAAGTGTACAGTCATTGCTTGTATCAGCTTTCTGGTGTCGAAATTTCATTTGGATTGCAGGAAGTTCGCCACTGCATATTGCTAAGATGTGCCATTTCCGTTACCGACATGATATTCGCCAAACCTATTCTAAAGTATATGTAAAAAGCCTGAACCTACTCTGTTAATGTTTGTGAGACATGGTTGATAAAAACATTGTAGACTTTTCATTACAGACAGAATTATAATATTGTATAAGTGTAACGACGCCACAGAGTGGGTAGTGCTGAGATCCAACATAATATGTTAAGTTATATAGATAGACAGACAGGTGAGTACGTGAGATTAGATGGAACGGACGCATTTCGTGAGGGCTTTCGTACAGCCTCTCTCTCTCTCTCTACACCTAATATTTACTGAAGTCAGGAAAGTATGTAGTTCTGGCATTATTATAACGGAGTGTTATTGGGATTGTGGTGTCGTATAGCTTGACTAAAATGCACCTCCAGCCACCGGAACATTTAAAAATATGCCTAACACTGAGATCGACAAACAAGTGAGATTTAACTGCGACAGCAACGATAACTTTTTATCAGTCAAAAAACATGGCATATATATATATATATATATATATATATATATATATCAGGAATTTAGCCATAAATAAACCAATCAAAATCTATATAAAATCCTCAAAATCTATCCAATTTGGTTATCATGTCAGGAAATGCATAAATCATGAATTCAACGATAACAAAGATAAGTTGTCCTTTTTAACAGACATCCGACCTTGAAGTGTTTGACTGTTGGTGTCAAATCTTTAAGATGTTTAGGTATCTCATGGTGTTCGGAGACACCCAGCGCAGTCATTCATAATTTTAAAAAGATATCTACCGCCTATCCTGGGATTCTTTCTTATTGCTACCTTTCAAGTTTCTAAAAATTATTTTGTATACAAAGTATAATACATCAAAATTTCATTAATAATTATGGATAGAGAATATATCAATTTCGTTGCAGGATTTCATCATGAGTTGACATTAGTTACAGGACCATTGAAAAACCTGAGAGTACTGGACAGCCGTTTCGTCCTAGTTTGGGACTCTTCATCAGTACGCACCCACCGCCCGGGTTCGAACCCAGGACCTTCTGGTTACAAGGCGAGCTCGTAGACCATTCAGCCACTGGGACCCAACTCAATGGCCCATGAATTCCAACTTCTGCCAATTCATGACATAGCGCGACTGCTAGTCAATGTCTTTGGCGAGTATTTGTCCTCACACCCGACCCTAGGGGTCGCGCTATGTCGTGAATTGGCAGAAGTTAGAATTCATGGGCCATTCGATCGGGTCTCAGTGGCTTAATGGTGTACGAGCTCTCCTTGTAACCGGAAGGTCTTAGGTTCGAATCCCGGTGGGTGTGTACTGACGGAGAGTCCCAAACTAGGAGGAAACAGCTGTCCAGTACTCTCAGGTTTTCCAATGGTTCTCCAACTAATGTTAGCTCATGATGAAATCCTGTAACCAATCAAATCCCTACAAACTAACACTTTAATATAAATTTCGGTTTCATAGGAGACTTAAATGCTGGCATCCCTAAGGCTGAAAATCTAAGATTATAAAACAAGGCGTCTAGAGCAGCTCTCCTGAATCGACCAGCATTTCTGTTCAGTTTGAAAGGCGAAGGTCTTAATATAATCACTTGAATTTGTGTGCACCAGATCACCTGCTTCTTTAGATGGAGGTAGGTGAGTCAATCACACAAACTTGAAGGTTTACAGGCGAAAACTAACAAGTGGTTAGAAGAAAAAGTGGAGACAGGACATCTATCTATTCAACGTCGAGAAGACTGAGGCAATGAAGATAATCGACAACCAACAACAACAAGCACTGATCAGTATCAACGGGAGAAATTTTAATTATCTGGGCAGCATCATTTTAGCCACACAGGGAGCACAAATGAGGATGTCAAAGCCAGCGAGGAACGCAAAAGCAAGACAAACGTTGATAACTCAGAAATTAGTGAGTAAATATGCTGCTGCATCAAGCATTAAAACAAGATTTGGATTTTCAAAACCAATATCAAATCAGTTAGTGTTGCAGTATGGTTCGCGCGTCACGGAAAGCATTTCAAACAGGCTATGGTAGACTTTCATCAACACCTGCCTTCTCTCAATGTTGAAGATCAGATAGCCGGCCAGAAATAATAAGCAACAAATAAATCTGGAGACGAACTAACCAGAGATCAGTTGCCTGGCTGTTGGGTGACATCACACACCAGACCCACGAGTGGAACCCGATGAGAAAAGATGATTTGGGTAGGGGTCCAAGATAGACATGGAGGAGATTATGTGTGGAGGAAGTGAGAGCTTGTAAATAATCGTGGAGTCGTCAGTGAAAACTTCAATAAACATAGTGAAAAGGTGACATGCTGCTAAGCCCTATATCCCACTGGAGACCCAAGGAAATAATAATAATACACCAGCTTTTCATATTGGATTCAACCGAAAATTGTTCAAGAATACTATTCTATCTAATTATGATGACATAGAAGTGGATCAACCATTCATAAACTCCTCCTTTAAAATTGTTTACGGAGTCAAAAACAACCTACTAAAATCAGTACGTGTTCGTTTTCTTTGTATTACAAAATTTCTAGTTATCGAATTAAGGGAACTTAGAGATTTCCTTACGAAAGAGACTTGTTCAACCTGTATTACGCAACAACATTCATTAGATGTTTATTCAGATGACGAAACCTTTTTGGACAGAATCATAAAAAAAGTAATAATAAAATAAAAAATACTCCCCGATGACACTGGCAGATGGTAGCGTTAAAATCACGAATTGGTAGAAACTAGAATTCATGAGCCGCTGGATTGGGTCCCAGTGGGCGAATGGTCTAAGAGCTAACCTTGTGAGAGCAAAGTCATGAGTTCGAACTTCGACAGTTGCGTTCTGATTCGGAGTCCTAAACTACAACGAAACAGCCGTCCAGTACTCCCTGATTTTCAGCAGTCCTGTGACTGACATCAATCCATGATCGGACATGGAGTAAAAGAGTCACTTTGCTGAACCACCCCACCTCCTCATTATTTTAAACGTCCTAATACAGGAGGAGTTGGAGTTGGAGTTCCTATGTATGCCAGTATTACAATACAAATGATGTTACTGTTTTCTCCCAGCTGGATTATTTGATTCTAATTAAACTCCAAAGACATCTTCCACATCTATGAACCTTCTCCATTACTTCAGAACAACCTGATTTTTTTTTCGCATTCGTCATTCATAATTTGCATAGTCCAGGGAGGTGAGATTTCACCACAGTTTCTTTTGAAAACCGAAACTATTATTCAGATCACATAGGTAATTAATTTGCCAATTACGAATTTATTTTAAGGTATTATCGGTTCGCCAAAGTAGCTAACCAATATTCTAAAGGTTTGAACTGATTCACCTTTCTGATCTGAGTGGAAATCCGGGCACCCCAAAGGAGCAAAGTGGCCATTTGGGGTTTTGTATCTCTTCATACTGTCGAACAAACATTACTGGTTACTCATGTCTAGTCTATCAACCAGCAGTTCATCAGAGTCCTGCAATTTATTTCTCCTCAGCTTTTCCTTTCATATACTGCCTCGGTGGTGCAACAGTAGGATGCCCACAAACCATGCACGTGGTTCGAGACCGGTCGAAGCACTCATAAACCTCTCTAAGCCGATAGTAAGCGTGGTAAAGAGGGAAGGTTAGGCGTGAGGCTTATAACATTACCCCATATAAAAACAGCCCCGCTACTGAAACTTCAAAGCTGAATCGTGAAACCCCATGTTCCACTGAAAAGGCAAAGAATTTAAATAAAAAATTCTCTTTTGTGGATGTCATATGAAGCCTCAGCTATCATCATCATGATTGTAATAATCCCTTTTCTTTTCATTCTCCAAAATCTACTACAATTAGAAAAAGAAGACGATTTGAAAAAACAGTGTAAAACTCATAATCAACTACTTGAAAAGTTGATTGAAACAAATCGTTGTGAAGAGGAAGTACTGCGTAAAACAATTTATAAAATGGAAAGTGATATAGAATCAAAAATTTCCAAATATGATCAAGAAATGACAGTGTTACAGGTAAATTGTGTGTTTTTGCGGGTATAACTACTTATAATTCCTTTCTCAGTAATAAATTCTCTAATGTTCATTATTATTATTATCATTCCCTTGAGTTATATAAGTGGAACACAGATATTCTGCAACACATCTTCAATCCACCCTGTTCTTTACAGTCTACTTTAGCTGGCTTCACAACTGACCATAAGCTTTCATCTCGTCTCCACACGGTCTTCATGATGTCACTCTCGGACCAGACCCAACTAGTCGTTCCGCCATTCAGATTCCACTCGAGGGCTTGGTGCACGATGTCGCCCAACATATGTCCAGTTCATTTGCATTTATCAGTGCATATTTGTCGGTTAACTGGTCTGTTCTCAGAGTTGTTTGTTCTCAGTCCTTGTTGGCCATCTGACCTTCACTAGGGAGCCAGGGCAGCAGTTGATATATGTCTGCTTTAACCTGTTGGAAATGCTTTTCTTGAACCACATAGAAACAGTGAACCACTATTGATGCTGAAAATCAAAATCTTGTTATTTGTGCTAATTGCATCAGATTTCCTATCTAGTAAACTCTTGTCTAAGCTCATTAATTTTCACACCTTCCATTACATCTTGATTCATGTTCACTATTCTGCAGTATTTTTTTGATATTATATTCCAAACTGATGTTTTTCGCTATACTTGAAAAACTGAATGTACACCCAAACACACACACACAAAATACGGAATATACACATTGGGTTATAGGATTTATTAAAAAGACAATTGCAGCGAAGAAAATTTTCTTTTCGACGAAGTCATCATCTAGACTGTACATTCGTGTATTTATATCAAATGGATGGGAAAGTTCCAGAATAATTTCCGGTTAAGGGTCAAATTAATAAAAATTACAATTAGGAATTAGAATGCCATGATAAACAGGCGACGGATAAAACTCAAATAAAGTAGCATCATAATAACTAAGAAGATTGACATTGTGCAATTGGGGGGCTAGAAATGTAGAAATAACAAAATAGACAGGATGTTTGGATAAAAAAGACTAATGTGATGAATAATTGTTTATGCAATCAGGGATTAAATATTTAGAAATAGTAAAATGACAAAATAAACACGAAGTTCTGATATGAAAATATGGTAGTGTAAACAGGGATTAGGAAAAAATTAAAAATAACATGAATAAACAGGAAGTTTAGATAAGAAAGCCAATGGGATGGTCATTACTAAAAAATTGCCTGTTTACCATGGCCATGGCAGGGACAGGGTTGGACGTATTTTTTTTGGATACAAAGCTTTGGCTTGAGTTTTTGGATAGCTAGCGCCTCGGCTATGCCCAGATGTCTTAATTTTACTCCCTTTGATAGGTTTGATGGAATGTTGTATATTATTTTGAAGAATTTTCCCAATAGCGCTGAATGTCGTGAATTGACCAGATGTTCTGTCACTGAACTGTATACACGCTTTTGATCTCCTTTTACTAACCAGGCTGGGTAGTGTTCACAAGCGCCAACGTACTCAGTTCCACAAGAGCAAGTAAATTGGTATATGCACGTTGAGGTGGCCCAATGCGACAGCTCGTCTTTCGCGTTCTGGCTGAACAGTCTCTTGCAGGAAAACGTCAGTCGTAGGCTCGCAGCGAAGTATGTTTTCCTCAGCGATTTGGAGAGGCGTTTACGAAGGATTTCTGCTTCAATATCACCTTTGAATTCTAGATTAAGCAGAAGTATTTTCTTTGGAACGGATTGGACTTGTTCGGAAGTCTTCTTAGATTTGAGATTCTTGTCTATGAACCTGGGCGGGAAACCGTTTTCCATCAGGACTTTTCGGAGATTACGCAGTTCTTCCTCAATCACTTCCTCGCTGCATATTTCCCGAATCCTCGAGGAAATAGTTATATTTATGATTATACAGCTAAGGGAACGAAATTACCATTTCTGCGCAGAACTATGTTCCTATTTCCACGTCTAGATGAGTATTTTTCACGTAATTTCATTAAACAAAAACATTAAAACAAAGTGTAGGATTCTACGTTTACTTTCGGCTTGGCATACAAGTTTGTAAGCGGCTATTAAACAATCTTACTTCAGTCTGTTTAACTTGAAATTGACACTCCAATTTCAATACGTTTTGTTGGGTGGTTCAGTCGTAGTGTAACAACAGAAGACAAGGGCCGGCAACAGATCGTTTTATTACAGAAATCAGCACGTATTTATATATATTTCATGTACATTATTATAGCCTATTCAAGCAGACAAACACAGTCTTCTGATTGGTTGTCTCTTGCTCATGGTTATTCTGTACTGCTTGTGACTGGTTCCTCAGAAAGTTAAGCCATATATCTGCGAATCGTAATGCCCACGTCAAGTCTGCTGTAATTGGTTGTTGTATCAGCCTCGTTCATATTTCTCACGGCAATATTAGTGACCTAGAAATTGACGTAAAGTGGTTAGCAGCCTGCTCTCACCACAGTAGGATTCTCACAAACAACCATTAACGTTATCTGATGGTTAGATTTCCAGCCAGATCACTACTCAGTCTCTCACCTAGTTTATTAACTGATATTACTTACTATCGATTGATTGGGCATAAGGGTAAGAATCCCATCCCATAAGAACAATACCAAACATTGCTGCTGAAATTTCAGAGCTCACCCTTGAAGCCGTTTGTATGTCCTACTCGAAATGCAAAGAATGAAACATAAAAAGTGAAAATCACATTCAAATTGATCTATCAATCTTTTTTTGGTTTATTTGTATTTTTGAGGACGAATATGACAAACTTGAAGCAGAGTATACTGAGGAGAAAGCTGCTTATAATGAACTGAACGAACGCTTTCAGGTGAGCATATAAATATATATAAACTTTGATTGAACAGTAGGCTGTAACCAGTGTCATACATCTAGTTCTTTGTTCTGTACAGACTAAATTCAGTCAAGTTTTCAATGAGACCACACAGCGGGATTGCTCACCATCACAATGCGCTATGAATTGTTACTGCTATTAGATGGTTGTGGGCAATCGGCAGAAAGACTTTGACCTCCTGAGTTTCGTGTTTGTTAGCACTCGTCATCAAGGCATGTTTGAACTCTTGAGGGAACTTATGTCGCTTCTGAGATTCGAACCCACGTCACCAAGTGCTGCATTCAAAGACATTGCCACATAGTAAACTTGACTGTCTGCACCAAACAAGGAACTAGACACATGGTATCAGTAAATGCCTAGTGTCCAATCAAGTTATCCAATACAGTCCAAAAGGAAATCAACCGTGAGCCCGAATAACTAAGTGGCGGTAACGTCTCCTACTGCAGCGTTGGGTTACACAAGATTGAATCTAAGATAAGGGATGAGTTGGCTCAAAACTGCTGACACGTCTTGCCGACGAGTACCAACAAGCACGAGACCTAGACTGAAGGCTTCCTGCCGATACATAATATTTAAAGAGGAATTTTATTGACAACGCTGATGTTTTCAAACAATATCTAGTTGTTAAGATCAATGGAATTACTGTTCAAAAATATGTGTAGTGATAACAAGCCCAAAAAATGCAATGCTTAGCTGAATATCAGGTGAAATCAAGAAATTTTATGCGACAGTTGATGATTTTTAAAACAGTGATAGCCATGGCTGGGAAATCGTCTAAAGGAAACTCCTGGGAACACTTAAGTTAGGCTTTTTAAGGTGAATTCCAACGGCTTCATTGATATATAAAAACAGAACTCCTAAAGTAAAATTAGAATTAGTCAGGGTATGGTAGATAACTTTAAAAGCCTTTTTAACATCGATTTTATGTTTTCATTGTCTACAAGATGGGTCAAAATAGAGCTGTGAATAAACCTTGTCTTCCCTTGTTAAACCGCACAGAATAATTTTCAGAAATCCAACAGTAAACATGCTTAATTGTAAGCCCAATGTAACTAGCTCCACAGGTGAAGTCACACTGACAGATTAATTATATTGGACCGAAATATTCATTCTCTGTTGACATATCAGCATCTCCTAGGAAGGAGGATCAACATGAAGTTATTTAAGTTGTTGCTGACTAGCAGTGAAATCCAAGGTGCTCACTTCGTCTTGTTTGGGACTCGTCAGTTAGATGTGCACGCAACAATACCCAGTGAGTGGTGGAGATTGGATAGTGCTTTTGCGTCTAAAACGACAGGTACTGGGTTCGAGTCTCAGTGGGAATAACAACATCACACACTAGGAGAACGCAGGTACGTACATCCAGATGAAGAGTCTCAAAACAGGACGACGTGCACATCCTGTATTCCACTGCTAGTCACTCAGCTGTTCAATATATTCTTACTTTCTTTATAATCATATAAATAATTCTATTATTGTTATGATTGGGTGATAATGGGTTGTGATTCGTCAAACTTGACCATAACGCGCCTCTAGAACACCACACTATATTCAACTAATCACCTGAAAGTATCTCCCACACTGAGACAGATACAAAAGTCAGACTGGGAAAAACAACAACGACAGAAAATAAACCACAACAATCTTGATTAGACAAAATACGTGGTATGCTATGCTTACAAAACCTCAGAAATTTAGGCTATAAATAAACGAATCAGAAGCTGTTCAGTCAGGTTACCATGACAGTAGGTGTATAAATGCCCAACCTCATGGCTAATAATAGAAGCTTGTCTGTCCCAAAATTTTTTTAACTTAAACTTTTTTTCTATTAGATTATAAATGAAGAATATCAGAAGATAATGGAAGAACGTAGAATACAAGAGGAGAAACGTCAAAGAGACGAAGAAGAAAGACGTCAAATGGAACAAGCAGTAACAACAATACAAGCCTACTGGAGATCGTACAAAACGAGAAAAATGGCACGTGGAAAAAGAGGTGGTAGTCGGAGGGGGAAGAAAAAGTAATAATAATAATAACTAATCAGAAGTCAGCATAAAAAAACAAGCTTAATGAATTCAACATATAAGTAGAAAAACTAGCAAAAACCACAGTCAACTCCACTATTCACACTTCGGAATAATAACAATAATAATAATAATGTGGATTAAAACAAAGTTTTTAAAAAATAAAATTGAAATAAGACTGTAATCTGATTAGGATGAATTTGATATGCAAACGCTGTAGATTTCTAGACGAATAAATTATGAAATTTTTCCACTGAAACAGTCTCTACGACTTCTTTTCAAAGATCTGTCTAAATATTTTGTAAAGATGGTAAAAGTCTGACGTACGAATGCCGTACGAAAATCGATAGCTAGGGTCATTTGATACTACTTGGTTGCCCAAACAAAGGGGCTGCGATCAAATATGAAGTCAACTCGTTGAGTTCCCGACGGTATTTTAGGCGTATAACAACATTCTTTTGCTAGAGAGGAATAGAATATACTATTAACAACCATTCAAAAGGATTCTTTATTCAAACAAAGGTGATAAAAACGTCTGATGATTGTTGAAATTGTTTCGTGCACAGCTAATCAGCTTTTTGAGCCGAATAGTTCTAATGACCTAAATTCTGGTTAGCACTTGTGAAATGAGAAGTCCAACACGAGACCTCATCTTTTCTAAACAGAAAGCATGCACGGATCAGGCGTGTTTTTTATTCCTTTGCGATTCGAGTGGGACATACGGCTTCAAGCTTTAGCTTTATAGTCTCAGCAGCAGTGTTCTTTTTACACATCCGACCTTCCCTCTTTGCTGGGCTTACTACTGGCTAAGCGAGGTTTAGGAATGCGTTGGCGGAGGATCGAAACCCAGACCATGTGGATAGTCAGCAGACATTCTACCACTGAACCACCGATGCACAGGTTGCGTGCTGAATCATCCTTATTTCTTCAGGGAAATAAGGATGAAATAACAAGATGGCTGCAGCCAAATGAATGCGATCTCTTTGAGTGGTTCAACTTCAGTCGCTATTTTCGCATCAATATTATATAGTAGAGAGCGTTTAACAGAGGCCAACTGAATCTTCTATTTTCGTATCGAAATTTCGTTAGTCAACCACCTACTATTAGAAGAGATTTAACTTGGATATGATACAGGAGATTTGTAGCTCAGGTGGATGATTCTGATGTGGTTGTGTTCTTTGAGCTGGATAGTTAATTTGCGAAGCTTTCATCTTCCTACTGGACGACGACATCTTCAGCGCTTACTTCAATTTGAAGTGAGCTTTTAGATTTCTCCACGAGTTTATTAATTATCTCTCCTGGTGGGTGAGCTTGGACGTGATTGGTTGTTTTTATGAGTTTTCACACCTTCTAGGTTACTTGTATTGGGACTGACTGGTTCGTTGACTTGAATTTCGTGTGAATATCCACGGAATTTCATCAAAAGATGTATACGCCAAAGCCAACCTATCAAACCAAAATCCCCCAAGAAAAGCACAAAGAAAATCGTCCTACCATATATAAAGGATATCTCAGAAATCACTACAAGACTCTTCAAACCTTTAGGAATTGACGTCGTACACAAACCAACAAAGTCACTTCACTCAATTCTATGTCAACCAAAGACTCAACAGTGAAAGAAGACAAAACCAACATCTACAAAATAAATTGTAACAAATGTGAAAAACACTACATTGGCCAAAGTGGACGTCCCCTTCGTCTTCGTATCCACGAACATAAGCTAGCCGTCAAAAGACATGATATCCACTCCCTCATATCACTGCACACAGACAACCACCGACATCAATTCGACTGGGACAACGTTCAAATATTAGACAGAGGAAACAACAAGAATGCTAGGAACTTTTAGAAGCTTGGCATTCCAGTGAATCATCAATCAATAGACACATAGAGATAGGCAAAATTTATCAACCGATAAGAAAGAAACCACACACACACAAAGGGTCAAAGTTCAAGTCAAAGAAGCAATCAGTCCCAATACAAGTAACCTAGAAGGTGTGAAAACACACAAAGCAACCAATCACGTCCAAGGTCACCCACCAGAAGAGATGATTAATAAACTCGTGGAGAAATCTAAAAGCTCACTTGAAATTGAGGTATGCTCTGAAGATGTCGCCTAGTAGGCCGATGAAAGCTTCGCAAATTAACTATCCAGCTCAGAGAACACAACCACATCAAGAGATGTGACTCTCTGGGTAATTGAACTGATTGATGTGTTCAATCGCTTCACTCCCAACAGTTTGATGGGATACTGACACAAACCATTTCAGAAGTAACAATTCATATAGTAGATGTGAAACATTTTAACAATATTCTACTTCTAGTCAGTATCTTTGCCTATTAGGTGTATTTTTGTGGTATCAGTAAACAGGCAGGTGCATTGATAGGAATAAACTTGAATGAGAACTTCAAAAGTTAAATATCGCTGGTATATGTCACTTCGTTTTACCTTTTTATGGATTTTGTAGAGATTCGAATTTATTTCAACGTAGATTTTGTCACTAACTAATATGATTCAAAGATATTAGGAGTAGCAATATGTCGCAGATTATTGAGTTCCAAACCAGTGGTTGTATAGTCAGTCAGCCAACCTCATAACTTGAAGGTCCTGGTTTCAGTCCCTAGCGGTGGGGTTGTGGGTTCACACTCCTGAAGAGTCACTGGCTAGAACGAAACAGATGTCCAGTACTTGATTTGATTTGATTTTTTAATTTACGGCTTGATTCCACACTGTATTTTTGGTACAAGTATGGAATTTTCAGCATGGATATCGGTAGCCGGAATTTCGCAGGCCGACCAAAGATATCAGGTGTGCGCCGGCGTGGGCTCGAACCCCGGACCATGTGCATGGTCGGCGAGAGTCCTAACCACTGTGCCACCGACGCACTTCCTGTCTTTCAGTGATTATCTAACTAATGTTGATTTTTGATAAGGCCCATATTATTTATCTAATATTTATTGGTACTTCGAATACCATTGTACCCAAGATAAAGATGATTCCTTTAAATGTGTCCCCTAAGTCAATGAGGAAACAACAGACGCTCGACCAACATAACTGCTAGTGACCGAAACAGAGAACTGAAGTGAACGCTGTATGCGGAAGAAGTATGTTCAACCTCTGTATTTACCATAACCAAAGCTATCTTAATCTAAGCCCCGCGTTCTTTGACAGTGTGCAACCATCATTCTATTAATAAGGATCAAACGCAGGATACTCATTTTACCAGACCTCCTTTTGGTACATTCAGACACTAGAGATCAGTATTCAATGACCCATTAATTCTCACTCTAAACAATTCGCGATGTAGTTTTGTCATCAAGCAATACCACCGATGAATATCCACGTCAGCTTAACATGGTGCAGCCCACAAGCCACAATTTCTGATTAGAACTTCAAGTCATCTATCCAGTAGCTAATTATCAACTAAAAATTGGCATTCAGATATCTTCTCTACAATCACGTTACTACTAACGTTACTACTAACAACAAGCACTGATCAGTATCAACGGGAGAAATTTTAATTATCTGGGCAGCATCATTTTAGCCACACAGGGAGCACAAATGAGGATGTCAAAGCCAGCGAGGAACGCAAAAGCAAGACAAACGTTGATAACTCAGAAATTAGTGAGTAAATATGCTGCTGCATCAAGCATTAAAACAAGATTTGGATTTTCAAAACCAATATCAAATCAGTTAGTGTTGCAGTATGGTTCGCGCGTCACGGAAAGCATTTCAAACAGGCTATGGTAGACTTTCATCAACACCTGCCTTCTCTCAATGTTGAAGATCAGATAGCCGGCCAGAAATAATAAGCAACAAATAAATCTGGAGACGAACTAACCAGGGATCAGTTGCCTGGCTGTTGGGTGACATCACACACCAGACCCACGAGTGGAACCCGATGAGAAAAGATGATTTGGGTAGGGGTCCAAGATAGACATGGAGGAGATTATGTGTGGAGGAAGTGAGAGCTTGTAAATAATCGTGGAGTCGTCAGTGAAAACTTCAATAAACATAGTGAAAAGGTGACATGCTGCTAAGCCCTATATCCCACTGGAGACCCAAGGAAATAATAATAATACACCAGCTTTTCATATTGGATTCAACCGAAAATTGTTCAAGAATACTATTCTATCTAATTATGATGACATAGAAGTGGATCAACCATTCATAAACTCCTCCTTTAAAATTGTTTACGGAGTCAAAAACAACCTACTAAAATCAGTACGTGTTCGTTTTCTTTGTATTACAAAATTTCTAGTTATCGAATTAAGGGAACTTAGAGATTTCCTTACGAAAGAGACTTGTTCAACCTGTATTACGCAACAACATTCATTAGATGTTTATTCAGATGACGAAACCTTTTTGGACAGAATCATAAAAAAAGTAATAATAAAATAAAAAATACTCCCCGATGACACTGGCAGATGGTAGCGTTAAAATCACGAATTGGTAGAAACTAGAATTCATGAGCCGCTGGATTGGGTCCCAGTGGGCGAATGGTCTAAGAGCTAACCTTGTGAGAGCAAAGTCATGAGTTCGAACTTCGACAGTTGCGTTCTGATTCGGAGTCCTAAACTACAACGAAACAGCCGTCCAGTACTCCCTGATTTTCAGCAGTCCTGTGACTGACATCAATCCATGATCGGACATGGAGTAAAAGAGTCACTTTGCTGAACCACCCCACCTCCTCATTATTTTAAACGTCCTAATACAGGAGGAGTTGGAGTTGGAGTTCCTATGTATGCCAGTATTACAATACAAATGATGTTACTGTTTTCTCCCAGCTGGATTATTTGATTCTAATTAAACTCCAAAGACATCTTCCACATCTATGAACCTTCTCCATTACTTCAGAACAACCTGATTTTTTTTTCGCATTCGTCATTCATAATTTGCATAGTCCAGGGAGGTGAGATTTCACCACAGTTTCTTTTGAAAACCGAAACTATTATTCAGATCACATAGGTAATTAATTTGCCAATTACGAATTTATTTTAAGGTATTATCGGTTCGCCAAAGTAGCTAACCAATATTCTAAAGGTTTGAACTGATTCACCTTTCTGATCTGAGTGGAAATCCGGGCACCCCAAAGGAGCAAAGTGGCCATTTGGGGTTTTGTATCTCTTCATACTGTCGAACAAACATTACTGGTTACTCATGTCTAGTCTATCAACCAGCAGTTCATCAGAGTCCTGCAATTTATTTCTCCTCAGCTTTTCCTTTCATATACTGCCTCGGTGGTGCAACAGTAGGATGCCCACAAACCATGCACGTGGTTCGAGACCGGTCGAAGCACTCATAAACCTCTCTAAGCCGATAGTAAGCGTGGTAAAGAGGGAAGGTTAGGCGTGAGGCTTATAACATTACCCCATATAAAAACAGCCCCGCTACTGAAACTTCAAAGCTGAATCGTGAAACCCCATGTTCCACTGAAAAGGCAAAGAATTTAAATAAAAAATTCTCTTTTGTGGATGTCATATGAAGCCTCAGCTATCATCATCATGATTGTAATAATCCCTTTTCTTTTCATTCTCCAAAATCTACTACAATTAGAAAAAGAAGACGATTTGAAAAAACAGTGTAAAACTCATAATCAACTACTTGAAAAGTTGATTGAAACAAATCGTTGTGAAGAGGAAGTACTGCGTAAAACAATTTATAAAATGGAAAGTGATATAGAATCAAAAATTTCCAAATATGATCAAGAAATGACAGTGTTACAGGTAAATTGTGTGTTTTTGCGGGTATAACTACTTATAATTCCTTTCTCAGTAATAAATTCTCTAATGTTCATTATTATTATTATCATTCCCTTGAGTTATATAGTGGAACACAGATATTCTGCAACACATCTTCAATCCACCCTGTTCTTTACAGTCTACTTTAGCTGGCTTCACAACTGACCATAAGCTTTCATCTCGTCTCCACACGGTCTTCATGATGTCACTCTCGGACCAGACCCAACTAGTCGTTCCGCCATTCAGATTCCACTCGAGGGCTTGGTGCACGATGTCGCCCAACATATGTCCAGTTCATTTGCATTTATCAGTGCATATTTGTCGGTTAACTGGTCTGTTCTCAGAGTTGTTTGTTCTCAGTCCTTGTTGGCCATCTGACCTTCACTAGGGAGCCAGGGCAGCAGTTGATATATGTCTGCTTTAACCTGTTGGAAATGCTTTTCTTGAACCACATAGAAACAGTGAACCACTATTGATGCTGAAAATCAAAATCTTGTTATTTGTGCTAATTGCATCAGATTTCCTATCTAGTAAACTCTTGTCTAAGCTCATTAATTTTCACACCTTCCATTACATCTTGATTCATGTTCACTATTCTGCAGTATTTTTTTGATATTATATTCCAAACTGATGTTTTTCGCTATACTTGAAAAACTGAATGTACACCCAAACACACACACACAAAATACGGAATATACACATTGGGTTATAGGATTTATTAAAAAGACAATTGCAGCGAAGAAAATTTTCTTTTCGACGAAGTCATCATCTAGACTGTACATTCGTGTATTTATATCAAATGGATGGGAAAGTTCCAGAATAATTTCCGGTTAAGGGTCAAATTAATAAAAATTACAATTAGGAATTAGAATGCCATGATAAACAGGCGACGGATAAAACTCAAATAAAGTAGCATCATAATAACTAAGAAGATTGACATTGTGCAATTGGGGGGCTAGAAATGTAGAAATAACAAAATAGACAGGATGTTTGGATAAAAAAGACTAATGTGATGAATAATTGTTTATGCAATCAGGGATTAAATATTTAGAAATAGTAAAATGACAAAATAAACACGAAGTTCTGATATGAAAATATGGTAGTGTAAACAGGGATTAGGAAAAAATTAAAAATAACATGAATAAACAGGAAGTTTAGATAAGAAAGCCAATGGGATGGTCATTACTAAAAAATTGCCTGTTTACCATGGCCATGGCAGGGACACGGGTTGGACGTATTTTTTTTGGATACAAAGCTTTGGCTTGAGTTTTTGGATAGCTAGCGCCTCGGCTATGCCCAGATGTCTTAATTTTACTCCCTTTGATAGGTTTGATGGAATGTTGTATATTATTTTGAAGAATTTTCCCAATAGCGCTGAATGTCGTGAATTGACCAGATGTTCTGTCACTGAACTGTATACACGCTTTTGATCTCCTTTTACTAACCAGGCTGGGTAGTGTTCACAAGCGCCAACGTACTCAGTTCCACAAGAGCAAGTAAATTGGTATATGCACGTTGAGGTGGCCCAATGCGACAGCTCGTCTTTCGCGTTCTGGCTGAACAGTCTCTTGCAGGAAAACGTCAGTCGTAGGCTCGCAGCGAAGTATGTTTTCCTCAGCGATTTGGAGAGGCGTTTACGAAGGATTTCTGCTTCAATATCACCTTTGAATTCTAGATTAAGCAGAAGTATTTTCTTTGGAACGGATTGGACTTGTTCGGAAGTCTTCTTAGATTTGAGATTCTTGTCTATGAACCTGGGCGGGAAACCGTTTTCCATCAGGACTTTTCGGAGATTACGCAGTTCTTCCTCAATCACTTCCTCGCTGCATATTTCCCGAATCCTCGAGGAAATAGTTATATTTATGATTATACAGCTAAGGGAACGAAATTACCATTTCTGCGCAGAACTATGTTCCTATTTCCATGTCTAGATGAGTATTTTTCACGTAATTTCATTAAACAAAAACATTAAAACAAAGTGTAGGATTCTACGTTTACTTTCGGCTTGGCATACAAGTTTGTAAGCGGCTATTAAACAATCTTACTTCAGTCTGTTTAACTTGAAATTGACACTCCAATTTCAATACGTTTTGTTGGGTGGTTCAGTCGTAGTGTAACAACAGAAGACAAGGGCCGGCAACAGATCGTTTTACTACGGAAATCAGCACGTATTTATATATATTTCATGTACATTATTATAGCCTATTCAAGCAGACAAACACAGTCTTCTGATTGGTTGTCTCTTGCTCATGGTTATTCTGTACTGCTTGTGACTGGTTCCTCAGAAAGTTAAGCCATATATCTGCGAATCGTAATGCCCACGTCAAGTCTGCTGTAATTGGTTGTTGTATCAGCCTCGTTCATATTTTCTCACGGCAATATTAGTGACCTAGAAATTGACGTAAAGTGGTTAGCAGCCTGCTCTCACCACAGTAGGATTCTCACAAACAACCATTAACGTTATCTGATGGTTAGATTTCCAGCCAGATCACTACTCAGTCTCTCACCTAGTTTATTAACTGATATTATTTACTATCGATTGATTGGGCATAAGGGTAAGAATCCCATCCCATAAGAACAATACCAAACATTGCTGCTGAAATTTCAGAGCTCACCCTTGAAGCCGTTTGTATGTCCTACTCGAAATGCAAAGAATGAAACATAAAAAGTGAAAATCACATTCAAATTGATCTATCAATCTTTTTTTGGTTTATTTGTATTTTTGAGGACGAATATGACAAACTTGAAGCAGAGTATACTGAGGAGAAAGCTGCTTATAATGAACTGAACGAACGCTTTCAGGTGAGCATATAAATATATATAAACTTTGATTGAACAGTAGGCTGTAACCAGTGTCATACATCTAGTTCTTTGTTCTGTACAGACTAAATTCAGTCAAGTTTTCAATGAGACCACACAGCGGGATTGCTCACCATCACAATGCGCTATGAATTGTTACTGGTATTAGATGGTTGTGGGCAATCGGCAGAAAGACTTTGACCTCCTGAGTTTCGTGTTTGTTAGCACTCGTCATCAAGGCATGTTTGAACTCTTGAGGGAACTTATGTCGCTTCTGAGATTCGAACCCACGTCACCAAGTGCTGCATTCAAAGACATTGCCACATAGTAAACTTGACTGTCTGCACCAAACAAGGAACTAGACACATGGTATCAGTAAATGCCTAGTGTCCAATCAAGTTATCCAATACAGTCCAAAAGGAAATCAACCGTGAGCCCGAATAACTAAGTGGCGGTAACGTCTCCTACTGCAGCGTTGGGTTACACAAGATTGAATCTAAGATAAGGGATGAGTTGGCTCAAAACTGCTGACACGTCTTGCGACGAGTACCAACAAGCACGAGACCTAGACTGAAGGCTTCCTGCCGATACATAATATTTAAAGAGGAATTTTATTGACAACGCTGATGTTTTCAAACAATATCTAGTTGTTAAGATCAATGGAATTACTGTTCAAAAATATGTGTAGTGATAACAAGCCCAAAAAATGCAATGCTTAGCTGAATATCAGGTGAAATCAAGAAATTTTATGCGACAGTTGATGATTTTTAAAACAGTGATAGCCATGGCTGGGAAATCGTCTAAAGGAAACTCCTGGGAACACTTAAGTTAGGCTTTTTAAGGTGAATTCCAACGGCTTCATTGATATATAAAAACAGAACTCCTAAAGTAAAATTAGAATTAGTCAGGGTATGGTAGATAACTTTAAAAGCCTTTTTAACATCGATTTTATGTTTTCATTGTCTACAAGATGGGTCAAAATAGAGCTGTGAATAAACCTTGTCTTTCCCTTGTTAAACCACACAGAATAATTTTCAGAAATCCAACAGTAAACATGCTTAATTGTAAGCCCAATGTAACTAGCTCCACAGGTGAAGTCACACTGACAGATTAATTATATTGGACCGAAATATTCATTCTCTGTTGACATATCCGCATCTCCTAGGAAGGAGGATCAACATAAAGTTATTTAAGTTGTTGCTGACTAGCAGTGAAATCCAAGGTGCTCACTTCGTCTTGTTTGGGACTCGTCAGTTAGATATGCACGCAACAATACCCAGTGAGTGGTGGAGATTGGATAGTGCTTTTGCGTCTAAAACGACAGGTACTGGGTTCGAGTCTCAGTGGGAATAACAACATCACACACTAGGAGAACGCAGGTACGTACATCCAGATGAAGAGTCTCAAAACAGGACGACGTGCACATCCTGTATTCCACTGCTAGTCACTCAGCTGTTCAATATATTCTTACTTTCTTTATAATCATATAAATAATTCTATTATTGTTATGATTGGGTGATAATGGGTTGTGATTCGTCAAACTTGACCATAACGCGCCTCTAGAATACCACACTATATTCAACTAATCACCTGAAAGTATCTCCCACACTGAGACAGATACAAAAGTCAGACTGGGAAAAACAACAACGACAGAAAATAAACCACAACAATCTTGATTAGACAAAATACGTGGTATGCTATGCTTACAAAACCTCAGAAATTTAGGCTATAAATAAACGAATCAGAAGCTGTTCAGTCAGGTTACCATGACAGTAGGTGTATAAATGCCCAACCTCATGGCTAATAATAGAAGCTTGTCTGTCCCAAAATTTTTTTAACTTAAACTTTTTTTCTATTAGATTATAAATGAAGAATATCAGAAGATAATGGAAGAACGTAGAATACAAGAGGAGAAACGTCAAAGAGACGAAGAAGAAAGACGTCAAATGGAACAAGCAGTAACAACAATACAAGCCTACTGGAGATCGTACAAAACGAGAAAAATGGCACGTGGAAAAAGAGGTGGTAGTCGGAGGGGGAAGAAAAAGTAATAATAATAATAACTAATCAGAAGTCAGCATAAAAAAAACAAGCTTAATGAATTCAACATATAAGTAGAAAAATTAGCAAAAACCACAGTCAACTCCACTATTCACACTTCGGAATAATAACAATAATAATAATAATGTGGATTAAAACAAAGTTTTTAAAAAATAAAATTGAAATAAGACTGTAATCTGATTAGGATGAATTTGATATGCAAACGCTGTAGATTTCTAGACGAATAAATTATGAAATTTTTCCACTGAAACAGTCTCTACGACTTCTTTTCAAAGATCTGTCTAAATATTTTGTAAAGATGGTAAAAGTCTGACGTACGAATGCCGTACGAAAATCGATAGCTAGGGTCATTTGATACTACTTGGTTGCCCAAACAAAGGGGCTGCGATCAAATATGAAGTCAACTCGTTGAGTTCCCGACGGTATTTTAGGCGTATAACAACATTCTTTTGCTAGAGAGGAATAGAATATACTATTAACAACCATTCAAAAGGATTCTTTATTCAAACAAAGGTGATAAAAACGTCTGATGATTGTTGAAATTGTTTCGTGCACAGCTAATCAGCTTTTTGAGCCGAATAGTTCTAATGACCTAAATTCTGGTTAGCACTTGTGAAATGAGAAGTCCAACACGAGACCTCATCTTTTCTAAACAGAAAGCATGCACGGATCAGGCGTGTTTTTTATTCCTTTGCGATTCGAGTGGGACATACGGCTTCAAGCTTTAGCTTTATAGTCTCAGCAGCAGTGTTCTTTTTACACATCCGACCTTCCCTCTTTGCTGGGCTTACTACTGGCTAAGCGAGGTTTAGGAATGCGTTGGCGGAGGATCGAAACCCAGACCATGTGGATAGTCAGCAGACATTCTACCACTGAACCACCGATGCACAGGTTGCGTGCTGAATCATCCTTATTTCTTCAGGGAAATAAGGATGAAATAACAAGATGGCTGCAGCCAAATGAATGCGATCTCTTTGAGTGGTTCAACTTCAGTCGCTATTTTCGCATCAATATTATATAGTAGAGAGCGTTTAACAGAGGCCAACTGAATCTTCTATTTTCGTATCGAAATTTAGTTAGTCAACAACCTACTATTAGAAGAGATTTAACTTGGATATGATACAGGAGATTTGTAGCTCAGGTGGATGATTCTGATGTGGTTGTGTTCTTTGAGCTGGATAGTTAATTTGCGAAGCTTTCTTCTTCCTACTGGACGACGACATCTTCAGCGCTTACTTCAATTTGAAGTGAGCTTTTAGATTTCTCCACGAGTTTATTAATTATCTCTCCTGGTGGGTGAGCTTGGACGTGATTGGTTGTTTTTATGAGTTTTAACACCTTCTAGGTTACTTGTATTGGGACTGACTGGTTCGTTGACTTGAATTTTGTATGAATATCCACGGAGCTTCATCAAAAGATGTATACACCAAAGCCAACCTATCAAACCAAAATCCCCCAAGAAAAGCACAAAGAAAATCGCCCTACCATATATAAAGGATATCTCAGAAATCACTACAAGACTCTTCAAACCTTTAGGAATTGACGTCGTACACAAACCAACAAAGTCATTTCACTCAATTCTATGTCAACCAAAGACTCAACAGTGAAAGAAGATAAAACCAACATCTACAAAATAAATTGTAACAAATGCAAAAGACACTACGTTGGCCAAAGTGGACGTCCCCTTCGTCTTCGTATCCACGAACATAAGCTAGCCGTCAAAAGACATGATATCCACTCCCTCATATCACTGCACACAGACAACCACCGACATCAATTCGACTGGGACAACGTTCAAATATTAGACAGAGGAAACAACAAGAATGCTAGAGAACTTTTAGAAGCTTGGCATTCCAGTGAATCATCAATCAATAGACACATAGAGATAGGCAAAATTTATCAACCGATAAGAAAGAAACCACACACACACAAAGGGTCAAAGTTCAAGTCAAAGAAGCAATCAGTCCCAATACAAGCAACCTAGAAGGTGTGAAAACACACAAAGCAACCAATCACATCCAAGCTCACCCACCAGAAGAGATGATTAATAAACTCGTGGAGAAATCTAAAAGCTCACTTGAAATTGAAGTATGCTCTGAAGATGTCGCATAGTAGGGCGATGAAAGCTTCGCAAATTAACTATCCAGCTCAGAGAACACAACCACATCAAGAGATGTGACTCTCTGGGTAATTGAACTGATTGATGTGTTCAATCGCTTCACTCCCAACAGTTTGATGGGATACTGACACAGACCATTTCAGAAGTAACAATTCACATAGTAGATATGAAACATTTTAACAATATTCTACTTCTAGTCAGTATCTTTGCCTATTAGGTGTATTTTTTGTGGTATCAGTAAACAGGCAGGTGCATTGATAGGAATAAACTTGAATGAGAACTTCAAAAGTTAAATATCGCTGGTATATGTCACTTCGTTTTACCTTTTTATGGATTTTGTAGAGATTCGAATTTATTTCAACGTAGATTTTGTCACTAACTAATATGATTCAAAGATATTAGGAGTAGCAATATGTCGCAGATTATTGAGTTCCAAACCAGTGGTTGAATAGTCAGTCAGCCAACCTCATAACTTGAAGGTCCTGGTTTCAGTCCCTAGCGGTGGGGTTGTGAGTTCACACTCCTGAAGAGTCACTGGCTAGAACGAAACAGATGTCCAGTACTTACTTCCTGTCTTTCAGTGATTATCTAACTTATGTTGGTTTTTGATAAGGCCCATATTATTTATCTAATATTTATTGGTACTTCGAATACCATTGTACCCAAGATAAAGATGATTCCTTTAAATGTGTCCCCTAAGTCAATGAGGAAAAAACAGACGCTCGACCAACATAACTGCTAGTGACCGAAACAGAGAACTGAAGTGAACGCTGTATGCGGAAGAAGTATGTTCAACCTCTGTATTTACCATAACCAAAGCTATCTTAATCTAAGCCCCGCGTTCTTTGACAGTGTGCAACCATCATTCTATTAATAAGGATCAAACCCAGGATACTCATTTTACCAGACCTCCTTTTGGTACATTCAGACACTAGAGATCAGTATTCAATGACCCATTAATTCTCACTCTAAACAATTCGCGATGTAGTTTTGTCATCAAGCAATACCACCGATGAATATCCACGTCAGCTTAACATGGTGCAGCCCACAAGCCGCAATTTCTGATTAGAACTTCAAGTCATCTATCCAGTAGCTAATTATTAACTAAAAATTGACATTCAGATATCTTCTCTACAATCACGTTACTACTAACGATTAATGAACTATATAATATAAAAGAATACATAGTCAATAACCAGTCGTATTTCACAAGGTCAAGTTGTCTAGAATAGGAAAAGGCTGATAGCTAGTTTCCTCTGTATATAATTGAACCAAACGATCTCGATCACCATTTTAAAAATGTGGATAGCGTTATTAGAAGACGGAGATTATCTGAAAAATGTGATGTATTTGCGCTATACATTTCGAACAATCTGATCACACATTTACTTGTCAAGTCGATATATATGAAAAAAATAAGGGCAATTCAATTAAACAAAGTGACAAAAAAATTTTTATTTTGATTATAGCTTGAAATCACACAGTACTTTTGGGTACAAGTATTGAATTTTCAGCATTCAATATCGGTGGCCCAAATTTTGCAGGCCGATTATTGATATCAGGTGTGCATCGGCTGGGGATCAAACCCCGGACAATGTGCATGGTCGGCGAGAGTCCTAACCAGTGTGCCACCGATGCACAGACTATAATCGACTAACAGTCTAATTCCAAATAACTTTGGGAATTCTGATCTAAATGATTCGATGTTACTCTCTTTTTAAAAAAAACCACTAATGTTGTCAACATCGACTTGACAAGTAAATGTGTGATCAAATTGTTCGAAATGTATAGCGCAAATACACCACATCGTTTTTCAGATAATCTCCGTCTTCTAATAACACTATCCAAATCATTCTTTGATTATTATGGATGGAAAAATAACAGTAGGACCTGATGAAGGAGAGCAGGTTATCGAAAACAGTATCCTTTGTTCAAATAATCAGTCTTTTGAAATTTCGAATAGGCATCTTTAATCAATCAAAAGACGTTTGCTCAGCCATTAAATCTACAATGGACCTGATCTACCTTAACGCTAAGTGGGTAATTTTTCTTTTTGTTTCTTAATTTTATTATTTTCTCCCCCTCCCCGCGACTCCGTATTAAATTTCTACCCTTTATTACCACTGTTGTTAACTTGACTTTCGTTCAAATCTTAGTTGAATTCTACTCAACCTTGTCAATTATATTACGTCACTCACTCACTTCATTTATTTAATCTCATTTTAACTCCTACCCGATTAACGCTTTTTACGTTACTTAATTTGTTATCTAAAAAGATTTTCAATTCTAATGACACACCTTTGGAAATATTCCTTATGTTGCTAAGATAAGTTACTATGTATATATGCGATTGTACAGCTTGAGAATGATTTCACCGGAGAGAGTAACTCTTCGCTGAATGCCTTTTCTTTAGTATATAGTGGTGAAGTTGCATCGACTGAGACAGCTAGGACAAACGTTGCACATGCCAAGCAGCTGTCTTCCTCGGCTGGAAATATTAGCTGGTTTAAGACTAGTTTGAAACAGAGTTAGGGATGGTCACATCAGAACCCGACATTAATCCATGAAGTCTGTGGTGAGGGCTGGCTGCGATCAAGCCAAAATTGTAAACACCAATTTACGTCAGTGTTCACGTCCCAAATCATGGTCATCAGGAAAAACAATAACAAAGCTTAACCTCAAGGAACTCAACAACCAATCACAGAACAGTGAACGTGTGCAAATATGATTCGCAGATATATGGCTTAACTTTATGAGAAACGGTCAAAAACAGTACAGAATGACCTTCGGCAAGAAAACAACCAATCAGAAGACGTTCCTCCTCCACTGACAATAATGTACATAAAAATCTATAAATATCTCTTGATTTTCTCAATAAACGTTCTGTTGCCTGGTTCCTGTCTTCTGTCGTTACAAGTCTTTGACAGTTGGTTTGAGGTATGCAGAGAGATGAATTTTAGATTTAAGAATGATTAACACAATGTTTGGTAATCCAATCAATTAAGGATTACAAAGGTAGGTTAAGAGTAATAATAAACTCTCTTTGAATACACAGGGGAGGCTTAAGTTTATGAATAGCTATAGCTATTCTCAAAAAGTTAGTTA